TCCCTAACCGAGGGTCGAGCCCGGGGTGCAATCACCAGGGTCTGATCTACTGCGCCGTCGTAGGGCACCTGGCGATGGCTCATTGTTTAGGGCATTCGGGGCCTTAAGGGGGCAGGGTTTGGGGTTTGGGGTTTGGGGTTTAGGGTTTAGGGTTTAGGGTTTAGGGTTTAGGGTTTAGGGTTTAGGGTTTAGGGTTTAGGGTTTAGGGTTTAGGGTTTAGGGTTTAGGGTTTGCAGTGTGGGAGTAGCCTTGTTCTGTTCGATGGCTCAAGCCTAAGCTTGATAGACCCTGAAGCTCATTGTTTTGAAAAATCTACTATCTACTTGCTTGAGAACCAGCCCCCCCCCCTCCCCCCCCAAAAAAAAAAAAAATATATATATATATATAATATATATATATAATAAAAGCAAACACACACACACAAAAGTCAAACAAATAAATATTCCCGATTATTTGGGGTTCTTAAGCAACTAGACTAGTAGAAACTATCAAGGGGCCAGCTGGGAGGTGAAAATCCTGGAGACCGTGAAGCCCCAAACCGAAGAAACCCAGAGCTGCTGTTTGGGTCATAATTTCCCTCGAGTGGCGAAGGAAGATTCAACAAGTTCGAACTTTAAACAACTTAAGAAACCCGGTGCACCCTCGAGGTTTCAGGCCCTATTTCTGAAACACATAGGGGCAGGGAGGGGGGGGTGGGGGGGGGGTGGGCTCAACTTTAAGAAATTCAGGGCAGAGGGTTGCTTGACGACTGAGGCCCACAGATCTCTAGCTCGACCCCAAATTACAACTGCAAGGCCAGTGGCCCTCATTCAACCCCCACTCATTAGATAGCAGGGGCACCAAACATCGTGTCCCTGAACCCGAAACCCGAAACCCTAAACCCTAAACCCTAAACTCTGCTTTGCCGTCGTTCTTTTGCGGCACCCCGGAGAGCCTTCCATCCTGTTCGCGGTGGCGTCTGCGTGGCTCGGGTGGGCTGGTAGGCCCAGACCTGCGCGGCTCGTTTCGAGCGCTTTGAATTGGGATTGCAAACAAAAGAAACCCTAAACCCTAAACCCTAAACAAGAGAGAGAGAGAGAGGGGACAGAGGGAGGGAGAGCGAGAGAGAGTAGGATTTATAACTTATGGCGCTCGGGGTTCTGAAGGAAAAATTCTACGTATCTATTGGGCTCATGGGGCTTTGGGGGTTTTGGGGGATCTTGGGTTCAGGGCTTGGGGTTTTGGGCTTTGGACTGGGGGCTTGAGGCTTACAACTCCAGCAGACGTCAGCTGCAGAGCAAAACCCTACACCCTAAACCCTAAACCCTAAACCCTAAGCCCTAAACCCTAAAACCCTAAAACCCTAAACCCTAAACCCTAAACCCTAAACCCTAAACCCTAAACCCTAAACCCTAAACCCATACCCTAAACCCTAAACCCTAAACCCTATAAACCCTAAATGGGTCGAACCCAGAACCCAGCACTCGGCGCCTGGTCGCCGCCTATCTTTGGCCCAAACCACCAGCCGCTGAACTCGACTCCGTCACGCTCGTCCCAGTAGTAGAGCCTGAGTCGCAGGTTTAGGGTTTAGGGTTTAGGGTTTAGGGTTTAGGGTTTAGGGTTTAGGTTTTAGGGTTTTAGGGTTTAGGCGGGTTTAGGGTTTAGTTTAGGGTTTAGGGTTTAGGGTTTAGGAGTTAGGTACCTGGACCACAACTTCTTCCGGACCCATTTGCAGTCGCAGCAGCAAAAGCTTGATGAATTTAGGGCCACCAGTGCAGGGTTTAGGGTCTAGGCTTTTGGGTTTAAGGTTCAGGGTTCAGGGTTTAGGGTGCTTGTCAGCCTCTTTTGGACAGCGCAGCTCTGAACTCTTTCACCTGGTTCTCGCCAGGCCACAACGGAACCATCTGCGAACCCTTCCGTCGCAGAACGTCTCCGTAAACCCTGAACCCTTTGCGAGCGCAGGCGAGGTATCGACAGAGCCACTGTATCCTCCTCAAAACTATGGCCCCTAGGGTTTAGGTTTTGGGGTGGCATGATGAAATCTGGGCACCAATAAGCGGTCCATGATTTGAGCGGCTCTTTTTCACATGGGGCCTGAGTCTCCGGGAACTTTTCGAGACTCCATAAGGTTTCTTTACTCCCCTTAGAACCTTAACAAACATAACATGTTTAATATCCTCTTGGGATTAATATGAACAAAAAATAGTTCCCAAGGGAGATATAGATGAGGTTTAGGGCCAATTCCAACAATGCCTCTCGCAACACCAGCCACCACAGGATACGTGGAAGCAACTCTTCAGCTCAGGGGCATGACGTCCAAGCCACTCACCTGCCCAGCACAGGAAAAACCACGCAACACGTCATCCGCCCTAAACCCTGAACCCTGAACCCTAAACCCTAAACACTAATCCCTAAACCCTAAACCCTGAACCCTAAACCCTACACCCTAAACCTGCAACGCCCGGTGCACAGGTAGCCTAACATCCAGGTTGTCAGACGCACAGACTACCAATTGCTCCAGAACCCCCCAAAAAAATCTTCCTGAAAAAAATCACATAGGGATGATGATTCTTGTCTTTTTGGGGTTTAGGGTTTAGGGTTTAAGGTTCTTAAGCATATAGCAGAACGAAGGTCGCCTTCTGTTCCTTCCGGTACGCCGGCTTGTTGTGGTTGGAGCCATCGACAGAGTAGTTCCCCCTGACCTGGAGCAGCATAGGCTTTAGGGTTTACGGTTTAGGGTTTGGGGTTTAGGGTTGCAACAAGGACTCCAGAAACTGTGGCTTCTTGGATTGAAACAATTGGGATGTTCCCCCTTGTATTCAGCACCCTAAACCCTAAACCCTCAGCCCCAAGCCCTAAGCCCTAATAAGCCCTAATGAGCCCTAATAAGCCATAACAAGCCCTAATAAGCCCTAAACCCTAAGTCCCAAACCCTAAACCCTAAACCCCCTTCGCCCCCCCCCCCCCCCCCCCCCCCCCAACCCCGAACCCTGGACCAAGGTCGTGGCAATTGGGCCAACGCTGACGTGCGTGCAGCCGCTCACGCTGATCTGCGCCTGAACTCGCCAGCCGAGACCCCCAACCGTTTAGGGTTTAGGGTTGAGGGTTAGGGTTTAGGGTTTGGGGTTTAAGGTTTAGGGTTTAGGATCCCGGACGAGCTCAGGAGTAGAGAAGGGGCCCTTCTGTTTATGAGGGAACCTGTCCCCTGCAAACAACGGTTTAGGGTTTAGGGTTCAGGGTTTAGGGTTTAGGGTTTAGGGTTTAGGCTTTAGGCTTTAGGCTTTAGGGTTCAGGGAGAAATGGCCCACGCCGGGTCCTAGGAAACCTTTTTAGTGCACAGGGCTTGCATATAGCTTACTATATTTCTCCATGCGAGCACAGTTCTGAATGACCCAAAAAACATAAGCCCTACAGGAGCCCCCTTTGTTTGCTACTCTTCGCCTCCTTTCATCAGGAACCGTTTTGGGCAGTTCTGTCCAGAGCCCGTGTCCCATTTTGGGTGCTGATTACAATGCCCTGCCCTTATGTTTTTGGGTACCCAGAACAAGACCACAGCTTCGGACCCTTAACTTAGGATGTTCCCACAAAAACGAACAGTCCTTTATTGGGATTAGAGTACCCCCTATTGGGGACTGTTAGTATAAGGGGAACATCCCAACCCTGACCACCCTAAACCCTAAACCCTAAACCCTAAACCCTAAACCCTAAACCCTAAACCCTAAACCCTAAACCCTAAACCCTAAACCCTAAACCCTAAACCCTAAACCTGAACCCCAGGTGCAAGGCAAGGTGACGGCTTTCCACGTCTGGCCGGGCAGCTTCGTGCAAAGAGAGACGCGGCTAAGCGATGCGGTGGATGCGGTGTCGGAAGGTGTCCCATATTTATTACATTTTTTTTGTGGGGGGGGGTTTAGGGTTTAGGGTTTAGGGTTTAGGGTTTAGGGTTTAGGGTTTAGGGTTTAGGGTTTAGGCTCTTCGCCTTTCTCCGACCAAGACTGTGAGGTTTCTTAGGCTATTCGGGTACCCCTTGACCCCACTAGAGCATCATCCTTTTCTGCGGACCCCCAAAATACCCTAAACCCTAAACCCTAAACCCTAAACCCTAAACAATAGGTACCCCACCACCACCAGAGTGTTTGGTGTAGGGGTTTCTCCCCCACGCCGAAGAGCACAAGCGGAGCTGCTTCGAGCCGCTTGGCAAGCAGGTCTTAGGGTTTAGGGTTTAGGGTTTAGGTTTAGGGTTTAGGGTTTAGGGTTTCGGGGTTTCGGGGTTTCGGGGTTTAGGGTTTAAGGTTTGGGGGTTTAGGGGTTTAGGGGTTTAGGGTTTAAGGTTTGGGGGTTTAGGGGTTTAGGGCTTAGGGCGGAAAAGCAGCACCGTGCAGGTGGATACCTGTGATGGAACTGGTGCAGCCTATTGATGGAGCATCTATAGTCTGGACACAAGCCTACTGTACAAGAGGCCTAAGCTGCCGGAGATCAAACTCCACTTCGTGGAGTTTTCACCAGGATGGCTCCTGAAACCCTCTGAAAGATATTCCTGAACAAATGAAAAATGTCCTTAGGGTTTAGGGTTTAGGGATTAGGGTTTAGGGATATAAGGGCCTACGGAGTTCTGACACTGAGCCGATGCACGCTGAAGAGAGAGGTAGCAGATGAAGCCGCAGGTTATGAATGTGGGGGATTGTCTACATTAGGGCCCTTTTCCTATACTGAATTTGGAACCCTAGCAGATTTACAATTTTGGCTGTTTCTTTGGAATTATAGTACCCAAAAGTTAAAAACTATTGCCAAATATCCCTAAGCTTTGGGTTACCATTGTAGGCGGCGCCTATATGATATTCAGGGTACATTTTGAGAAATGGCCGTGTGTACCCAGGATTGATAATATGTCGACAATGGTCTGCTACGGAACCCTGCTTAAGTCCGGAAGCATACTAGGTTACTGAAAGCCCTAAACCTGCGACCCTACATCACAATGAATCTTTCGACACCAAAAGAGGCAAACAACTCCACTAGTTAGGCTACATTCGATCAGGTGATTCTCGCTCAGTTTCACTCTCTTGACCTGGCACGGCCTCAGCTCACAGCGTTTAGGATTTAGGGGGATTTAGGGTCCATAGGGTGAGGAGGTGTAGGGTTTAGGGGGTTTAGGGTTTCGGGTTCCGGGTTTAGGCTTAGGCTAGGGTATGATCAAAACACCACACATCTGGGCAGTGGCCACCTACTCAATCAACGTCACTTTCGCAACTGAGCGTCTGCCGGTGCGTCATCTCGATCCACAACAACCTCGCAGCTCTCCATGGTGAACCGGATCAAGATTTTGAACCTCAGCACGCACGAATATTGCAACGACCCTCAGGCTCCACCCTAATCACCCTAAATTCGTGTGTGTGTGTGTGTGTGTTGAGTTGGAGACTCTATGAGAGCAAAATACATTTTTGAAAAACCTTGAAATAAACCTGAAAGATTCCCGACGCCCACAGCCCATCCCTAACACACATCCTGAAAAACAGCTAGAAAAAACCTGAAAACAACCTGAAAAAAGACCTCAAGAGAACCTGAAGCAACCTGATTAAAAAACCTCACGAAAACCCGACAATTAAAAAAAAAAAAACAAACACAACTGGAAAAGTCCTGAACAAAACTGAAAACCTGAAAAAAGTAACCTGAAAAAGCCTGAAAAACCTGAAAAAGAAAACCTTCAAAAACCTGCAAAAACACCTGAAGAAATCGGGGAGGCAGTTTTTGTTTTTTTTCAGGTTTTTGTTCAGCTTTTCTGACAATTGCGCGGTGGTAGAGGCAGGTTTATTTTCAGAACATTTTCAGCTTTTCTGAGGATTGCGAAATGGTGGAGGCAGCTTCTTTTCGGTTTTTTGCCTGCTTGCTTGGAATCGGTGACATATGAAAGCAGGTTTTTGTCAGGCTGTTTTCAGCAGGTTCCAGGCAGGTTTCATCGAGTCCCCACGAGCCCCACACTCACAACCCTAAATCTCAAGACTCTCAACCTTGTACCCGACATCCCTAAACCCCGAAACCCGAAACCCTAAACCCTAAACCCTAAACATGGGGTTTGGGGACCGGTGTAGGGTTTATTCCTCAGGGCCGCACCACTCCAGAATCTCGAGTTCGCGCTCAGATCTGAGCTCCAGCTGGTAATCCGTGTATTCCTGGCTTGAGGGTTTAGGGTTTAGGGTTTAGGGCTTAGGGTTTAGGGTTTAGGGTTTAGGGTAGGGTATGAGTCGTGGTTCATCATAGTTCAAGGGGGGTATGTAACCCAAGGCTCCCTAATGCTCCCGACTGCTCCCCAAGCTTCCCCAGGGGTCCCGGTACCAAGGCTGAAGGGGCGGGGGGGAGGACACCCCCAACCCCAAACCTACTTTTCCCAAATACCCACCGAAGGCCCGAAATCCCAATCCTTTCGACCTCGGCGGAATGCCAAGTTTGACTCCGAACATGAATCTGGAACGCGGGTCTCATAAGGCATTGCAGAATCTTGCAGGTTCGCAGAGTCTAGGGCTGAGCGTGTGCAGCGTGGTAGCACCCGCAAACGTATCTACCCCCTTTTCATGATGGTTGCCTTTGGTAAACGGTAACAGCAACACAAAAAACCCAAAAGGGCCCATGACCACCATTGCTCTCCAAACCCTAAACGCTAAACCCTAAGCCCTAACCCTAAACCCTAGCCCTAAACCCCAAACCCCAAACCCCAAACCCCAAACCCCAAACCCCAAACCCTAAACCCTAAACTCTAAACCCTAAACGCAAACATCGGCATCCCGAGGGACGCAAGCTGCGCGCCTCCTTGAACTGCAACAAGATGCGCGTCGAGTAGGGAAACTTCACCTCCGTGGAGAAGCGAGCAGATGTGTAGGGTTTAGGGTTTAGGGTTTAGGGTTTAGGGTTTGGGGTTTGGGGTTTGGGGTTTGGGGTTTGGGGTTTGGGGTTTGGGGTTTAGGGTTTGGGCTTGGGGCTTAGGGTTTAGGGGGAGCCAAGCCACTCAGTCCAAGTAGGGTTCAGGGGTTGTGGGCTGAAGGCTGGGACCCTGAACCCTAAACCAAGGTCTCGCGTTCTGGGTTGAGTCACAAGGGGGAGGAGGGGAGTGTGTGGTTCAGAGGAAAGGCTTCGAATGCATATATAGTTAACAATCAGTATGTTAAAACATACAGACGAATAGATCGTCCTGCATCGCATTACTACTCTTGTTACTATGATTCCCATTACTATGATGACATAGTAGTAATTTATTTTACTTTGAACATCCCCACCCTCTCTTGGCAGAGATACTCTGGGGTTGGGCACTCCAGGGAGGGTTGGGCACTCCAGGGAGATTCTGGGGTTGGGCACTACAGGGAGACTCGGGGACACTCTGGGCTTGGGCACTTCAGGGAGACGCTGGGGTTGGGCACTCCAGGGATGACACTGGTTGGGCACTCCAGAAGAACTCTGGGTTAGACTCTGGGGTTGGGCACTCCAGGGACCGGGGTCACTCTGGGATTGGGCACTCAGGGAGACTCTGGGGTTGGTAACAACCCCACACCGAGGGTGGGGAAGTAGGTAACAACAATAATGGAAACCATAACACAGTACACAAAATAGGTAACAACAACCATAGTGCTAGTAAACAAACTAGGTAATAGCAATAGTAACAGCCAAAATGGTAGTAAACAAAACAAGATCGATACTAACAACCACAATACCAGCAAACAATGACAACTAGGTAGTAATACAACCATGATAATACTAAGTAAGAACCTCTAAACCCTAAACCCTAAACCCTAAAGTAGTACGGGGAGCTTGGGATCGGCTTGGGCATCGTGCCCCTTTGGCCGGCATGGGCCATGGATCAAGGTGAAGCGGTGTCGAGAGTCCTAAACTTTAGGGTTTAGGGTTTAGTGTTTAGGGTTTAGGGTTTAAATTTTGGGTTTAGGGTTTAGGGTTAAACCCTATGACCTCGATACCCCTAAGCAGAGTTGATCGACTCCTCCAAATCATTTTCGGGGCCGCACAGCATGCGCGTGGGATGCCTTTTTTCTGAACTTGGAACCTAGCAAAAAATCTAACTTTAGCGGTTTCTTAGGAATGATGGTACCCAAAAAGTACAAATCGGGTTTAGGGTTTAGGGTTTAGGGTTTAGGGTTTAGGCATTCCCACAGTATCCCTAAGATTCGGGTCCCCAGCCTGTGTTCGAGTGACGCGCTTGAGCTGCGTCAGGTCCAGGCATCGGACGGGCCGGGGGCGGGGCCTCACAACCGCGGCCAGGAGTGCTAGGGCTGCAGGGCCCTAAACCCTAAACCTTAAACCCAAACCCTAAACCCTAAACCCTAAACCCTAAACCCTAAGCACTGAACCTAAAGGGGCCTCAGAGTTGGGTTTAGGGTTTAGGGCTGTAGGGGGTTAGGGCCCAAAGGTTGAGAGTTTAGGCTTTTCAGGACACGGCTTCTAGGCTTCAGCGTTTAAGGTTTTGGGGGTTTAGGGTTTAGGGTTTAGGGTTTAGGGTTTAGGGTTTAGGGTTTAGGGTTTAGGGTTTAGGGTTTAGGGGTCTTCGGCAAGCATGCCAAGAGCAGCAAACCCTGGCCATCTCACAGGGCCAAGCTGGGCCCGCGGCTCCTTGTTGCGGATGACCTGCTAGGGTTTAGGGTTTAGGGTTTGGGGTTTGGGGTTTGGGGTTTGGGGTTTAGGGTTTAGGGTTTAGGGTTTAGGGTTTAGGGTTTAGGGCCTAGGGTCTAGGGTTCAGGGTTTTGAGGGTCTAGGGTACGGTTCCTTACAAAAGGGACTATGACTCAACAAACTCCCAGGTGCTAGTCTAGTCTAGTCTGGTACTCAAACGCTGGGTTCCAATATGAGGACCGAACTAAACAGGAGCTGTAGATGCCCAGAGCAAAAGAGCTGCTGATGGTGCAATGGAGCTCAAGATCTGCGTAGGAGAGGAGAGGCCAATTCTTATTGATCCCTAAAGAGCGCGAGGACAAAATCACCTCTGTTCACTGCTTGCTCACCTTTGACGACCGACCTGAACCCCTGTAACTTCTAAGTTCGAGCATATGGAAATGTCCAAAGACCGTCACGCTACACCCTGGGAAATGTCCAGATTGTGGAATAGCTAAAGGAAACGATTAGGAAATACATGCGATTCAGCTAGGAAATCAAAATGGGCTTGGTGATAACAAGATACAAACTAAATAGAAAAGTAGGACAACACATAGGAAATAATCAGACCTTCGGCAGCAGGTTGGAACCTGGGGACCCTTGCCTCTTTCCCATCTTTCCAGTTACTTGTCGTATTTTCCTATTGTCGTCTTCCTCTCTCTATGGATACATAGGCTTTATGAGTCTGGGACACCTATTTGTCCTACTTGGATCCTATGTTTCCCTATCTTTTCCTACGTCTGTTTGTATATCTTTCCTTTTTTGCTACTAATGATTTCCAATCCGCGAACGTAATAACCTTTACCCTAAGTCCTAAATCCAAAACTCAAAGTCCTACCCCCAACCCCAAGCCCTAAACACCCTAGACCCTACACCTTAATCCCTAAACCCTGAACCCTAAACTCTCAACCCCAAACCCCAAACCCTAAACCCTAAACCCTAAGCCCTAAACACCCTAAGCCCTACGCCTCCATGCGCTGCAAGTACATGCCCACACCCGGCGTGCCTGGGGCGGCCGAGGCTGCCGAAGTTGATCCACGAAGGACGGCCTTCGGGTTTCCAACGTGCAAGGTTTAGGGTTTAGGGTTTAGGGTTTAGGGTTTAGGAGGGTTTAGGGCTTAGGGTGGTGTTACTTGCATGATAGGCCGTAGGATTGTCCGAAGGGTTGAGGGTCCAGCACGCGAAAAGGCAAATCGCACCAAGGAGCTTGGCTGCACTTAGGAGGGTAGTCATAAATTACATTTCAGCGGCCTTATTCAGAAACCCAATAAGCCCAACACCACAAAGGGAGAAGGCAGGACACAGCAACTGCAGCAACGATTAGCTGCTGAGTTCCCTCAGCCCCCCGCAGAAAAAAAGTGTACAGTGCCAGTTCTTTTGCGGATTATAGTATCCTCAAAAGGGTTTAAGGTTCCCTAAACCCTAAACAACCCTCAACCCTGAACCCTAAACCCCTAAAACCCCCCAAATCCCCAAAACCTAAATCCCCAAAACCCTAAACCCTTTAACCCCCTAAACCCCTAAAACTCTAAACCCGAAAACCCAAACCCTCAACCCCCAAAACCCCAAAACCCCCAAAACCCCTAAGCCCCTAAAGCCCTAAACCCGAAACCCTAAACCCTAAACCCTAAACCCTGAACCCTAAACCCTAAACCATCCCGGCCTCCACCACCGAATCTGCCCCTCCTTCAGCTCGAAGAACCTCTGAAGGCTTGTTCTGTTTAGGGTTTAGGGTGTAGGGTTTAGGGTTTAGGGTTTAGGGGTTTAAGGGGTTTAAGGGGTTTAAGGGGTTTAAGGGGTTTAGGGGTTTAAGGGGTTTAGGGGTTTTAGGGGTTTGGGGCTTCGCGCTTCCCCTCCCTCCTCGAAGGAAAGCGCTCCCCTAGTGCCACATTTCCTGGCTACACCTGAACGCAGGGGGGGGAGGGGGTGCCCTGGTAGGATTTATAGGGTTTAGGGTTTAGGGTTTAGGGTTTAGGGTTAGGGTTTAGGGTTTCGGGTTTAGGAGGTGGGAGAAGAAGCGGGGAGGGGGAAAGGGGGGAAAAGGGCTGAATGACTTCAAATCGCATCAGGGGGTGGGAACGATGCTCGGGGTTGAGGCCCCTCTTCCACTAGCTCGAGGCTGAAGTCCTAAACCCTAAACCCTAAATCCTAAACCCTAAAGCCCTAAATCCGACAAGCATCCCCCAAACCCACAATAAGGGAACTCACGCCCAGAGCACCGGATGGTCCACCGGAACCGCGATCTTCCAGCTCGCTTCTGCAGATACCTGGCGAGGCTTGTGATGGTTTAGGGTTTAGGGTTTGGGGTTTGGGGGTGTGGGGTTTAGGGTTTAGGGTTTAGGGTTTAGGGTTTAGGGTTTAGGGTTTAGGGTTTAGGGTTTAGGGTTTCGGGCGATTGAGAGGCTTAGCTGCTATAATTTGGGGAGTTGAGGGTGTTGGGGTTCAGGGTTTAAGGCTTGCAGGGGAAGAGCTGCGAAGGAAATCGACAGTCCATCAGCTTGCACACAGTTTATGTAGACCAGGGCACTAAACCCTTCCCACATAAACCCAAAACGCCTGCAAATCTGAAGAGGGCTCCTGGATGCTCCTGGTCTAAGCCCCCAACTCCGCCACACCCTTCAAATTTAGGGCTTGTGGGGTGCTGAGTTTTTGTGGGGGGGGGGGGGTTTAAGAGGTATTTTGGGGCTTCGGGCCACCCTAAACCACGCCGGCTCTGGCCCCTCTCTCTTCGCATAGATCAAGTTGCCGTCCTGTGTCGTATGTGATTCCGTCAACACCAGCTAGCCCAAGAGACGAACCCATGAACCCTAAACCCTAAACCCTAAACCCACAAACCTAAACTTTAGGGTTTAGGGTGTCTTCTCGTTGAGCGGGCGGCCCGCAAATTCTAAACCCCTACGAACCTAAGCTACAATCTTCCGAAACGCACGAAGCACAGAGTGATTCGATTCGGGGATTCGGCCGGCTTTTTCCAAGGAAGTGTAGCTACAATCTAGGGTTCCCTTAATTTTCGGTCCATTGCTATGATACATTATGTACAATAAGGGCCCAGACTTCGGATCCCTTAAACAAGGGTAGGGGACCATACTAAGGGCCGCATGGATCCCGCTTGGTTTAGGGCTTAGGGTTTAGGGTGTCGGGTGTGGGGAACAAACCTCGTCTGGCTCATGGCCGAATCTGCGAAGGTCAGCTTCTTGTTCGCATGTGGAGTCTTGTCGCCCTAAACCCTAAACCCTAAACCCGAAATCCCTTTTGCTTTGTGGCTCAGGCGTTGAGTTTGGGACAGGTCGGGCATGATGAGCAGGAGGCCGGACAGCGCGGGCAGTTTCCGGAGTGGGTCTGCGGAAAGTGCTCGCGTGGTGTCGGCTTGACACTAAGAGCCCAAACCCTGCTTGGAGGTTCAGGGTACTCATAACCATCAAACTTTAGCTGCGCTTATAAGGAGACTTGCAGTTGGGGTTCTTGGTGCCCATGAACCTCCAAGTGGAATCCAAAATCCTAACCACAACCCTTTAGGGTTTAGGGTTTAGGGTTTAGGGTTTAGGGTTTAGGGTTTAGCCTTACAAACCCCGAAGCTTACCACGAGCAGGCGCCCGCGTCCTCATGGAGCGCCAGCTGATCCTGCCGAATCGGCTCCTGCCAAAATGGCACCTCGCCGGTTTAGGGTTTAGGGTTTAGGGTTGAGGGTTGAGGGTTGAGGGTTTAGGGTTTAGGGAGAGGGTTTAGGGGTTAGGGGTTAGGGATGGCAACTCGCCGTCGTTTCGTGGAGCAGCTTGTCTTGGTTTTGCTAATCGGAATGTGAGGTTTAGGGTTTAGGGTTTAAGGTTTAGGGTTTAGGGTTTAGGGTTTAGGGTTACCCCCAGGTTCTGCGTTTGTTTTGGGGATGCGAGGGTCCTCACGTTTTGGACTGAGGGCTTGAAGCTTAGGGCATTTTAGGGTTTAGGCTGAGGGTTTAGGGTTTGGGGTTTAGGGTTCAGGGTCTCGGGTTTGAGTTTTTTTGGGTTGCGTCCAACCTTTTTGCAAGGGGCGTGCCTTCCACGTCTCCTCGCCGACTTGGATGTCTTCCCGTTTGGGCGGCATCGCAGGGCTCCCAGGCAGCAGTTCGTCAAACCCCTAAACCCTAAACCCTAAACCCTAAACCCTAACCCTAAACCCTAAACCCTAAACCCTAAACCCTAAACCCTAAACCCTAAACCCTAAACCCTAAACCCTAAACCCTAAACCCTACCCATGGACCACCACAGCCTTGGTTTTCTGGGTTTCTAAAGAAGAATCATTTCGGGGCCATACGGGAATCCTGGTCCTATTTGCTCCGACACTTATAGCACATGTCTTTGTTCAAAGACTGCCTGTTTCACATTGGGGGGTGGCCTCACACTTCTTTCAGAGCACCAGCTTCGTAGCCCTAAACCCTAAACCCTAAACCCTAGACCCTAAACCCTAAACCCTAAACCCAGAGCTGCTGATATCCGCTTGCTGCTGACTCGAGCCAAATCTGAGTCCAATCTGAAGGGAATCAGGAGAGATGTGGGTGGCTGTCAAAGTTATGACCCCTTTTCGGGTACCCTCAATATTCGGTGCCGTATTATAATGGGGATCCAAAAAGGGACCCTAATTTTGACAACCACCCATGTGTTGTTCAAGCAGCTGCCATCTATTTCTGCAGCGTGGTGAGTAGCAGCAGTATCAGGACCCACAATGTCAGAGAGCCAGCCCTGGCCCCCAAAACCCCGAAACCCTACCCAGCAAGGTAGGGTTGGGATTCGGGGTTCGGGTTTGGGATTTAGGTCTAGGTCTCTAAACCCTCAACCCTCAACCCTCAACCCTAAACCCTAAACCCTAAACCCTAAACCCTAAACCCTAAACGTCCGGGCTGCTGGGGTCCCGGGCCGCGTTCCCAACCTCGGGCGTGGCCGTGGCGACCTGTGCCGCTGGCACTACAGCTGCCTGCCTGGCAGAGCTTTTGGCAGTTTAGGGTTTATAGGGCTCGGGTTTTTTGTCTGGGGTTTGGGGTTTGGGGTTTAGGGTTTAGGGTTTGGGGGTTGGGGTTCGGGTTTGGGGTTTGGGGTTTGGGGTTTAGGGTTTAGGGTTTGCGGTTTAGGGTTTAGGGTTTAGGGTTTGGGGTTTGGGGTTTGGGGTTTGGGGTTTGGGGCCCGCCCCGTTCAAGCCGTCATGCATTCAGACATGCTCGTATTCAGCAGGTGCTCGCGATGTCAGGATGAATGGACACTTAGGAACATCTGGGAATCCTGATCGGAGCCACCTTTTTGCTCAAGTGCATGGTCGTGGGTGAAGTGTTCGGGCACTCGTAGACACATGGCGCACGTTGGAACCAAGCAGAGTACCCTGGCTCACGGACTAGCAGCATCTTAAGCTAGGGCTGCGGAAAAAACAACGAGCCTCTCATGGCTAGACAGTTCTGTTGCAGACCGAACTGGTTCAAATGTAGGTGTACACGAATGTCTCGATGTGCCTGTACACTGTATATGTGTATGCATACAAAAAAGTTGATACCCTCCTAGAACAAGCGATCACCAGCTGCAACAGCACCGCTTCAAATGGCGCCGCTGTAATGCTTCACGATGTGTATAATATCAAAGGAGACACCGGCTGCAGCAATGTGAGGGATCTGACTGACATCGCATATTGAAAGACAACAGATATGTCTGCCGCTGTCTGCCCGGAAGCCTCCCTTCACGGGCACAAATGTCAGACGTTGAGAGCTGCCCGAGGCCTAGTGGAACGGGGGGAGCCACAACAGACGCCAGCGTGAGCTTCAGGAGCATTGGCTGTTCTGTGAACCTAAACCCTGAACCCTCAACCCTAAACTTCGTGCCAGCGGTCTATTTTTTTAGCATTCGATGCTCCCATCTGCTTCACTGCCCGGTCCATGAACGACTCCCCGCCGCTTGCCGGCCTCGTCCCAGCGTACCTTCAAAGAAGGGTCCCGCCATGAGATAGCTCTTTACGGTGTCTTGAGGCGCATCAGCCTTCACCGAGGCCCGCAAGTAAAGCACTGGACTACTTCAAGATACCTTTGTCTGTCGTGCTTTCAGGAGCCCTAAAAACCTTACAGGAAAAACACACACACAGGGCCTTCCATGGCCTTAAAGGCCCCCCCTTTTTAGCTCAACCTTTCCGCTCCAAGTCCCAAAGACCCAGAGTGGCAAACCTCGGAAGTATCTCGGGGTAGCGACATGGTCCCTTAATATGGGCCCCCGAGGTGGGAAGCCTTATATTTCCACCTCTTATAGGGCTTAACTCAACCCCAACGACCCTAAACCCTTATATACCCCTTCTAGGATCATGCTTTGCTTCTTCCCTGCACGCCCCCCACCCACAAAATTGAAAGAGAATAATCCCTATCTTGCCCTTATGAGGAAGAACATGTGTATTTTCTGGGGGCGGGGGCTTCTTAAGCAATTCGTACAGGACCATATTAAGGGACCATGTAACATCATGCAAACTATGGGGGTCTCCATGCCCCACGCGAATTCCAAAAAACAAGGGAACTGCCTGCCCCGGACCGCTGCGCCGGGGTTGACAGGCACTCTGACATTAGGGTTTAGGGTTTAGAGCTTATAAAGTTTAGGGTTTAGAGTTTAAGGTCTTAACACTTATTTCTTTAGTATAGCACAATCTATCAGCAAATCGTATATCTTAGTCATTCTTAAACAATGTAGAAATAACAGTACTAGTACCAATGTGAAAGTAGAGCCATACTAGTCAATAAATCTAACAATAAACAAAGGCCATGACAAGAAACAACAGTAGAAACTATACAACTACTCATAGATACACATACGGATACGCGTTATGTGTATATGTATGTATACATATATATATATGTGCATATATATATATGTATACTATCTATTTACTTATTTTCTTCTTCATGGAAAGGCTTCAGAAGTTCGGCCTGAAGGTTTAAGGACTTCGAGACCTCTTCCCTGAACCCTAAACCCTAAACCCTAAACCCTAAACCCTAAAGCCTGTTAGTATAAGAGGGGGCTCGGCGCCTACCCATGCGCAGCGGCCAGTCACGAAAGGCAAACCCTCGGAGGTCGCCATGTGGGAATTTCCCAAAATAGGGGGGTTAGGGTTTAGGGTTTAGGGTTTAGGGTTTAGGGTTTAGGGTTTAGGGTTTAGGGTTTAGGGTTTAGGGTTTGGGGTTTGGGGTTCAGGGTTCAGGGTTCAGGGTGGTTTAGGCTTCGCACCCAAATAGAACAGAACCACCCCTTAAACGAGGAACTCTCAGAAAGACTTCCCCTATTGTCGGAACCCCCACATGTCGGCCACTCGTCGGAATTTGTAATGGCACGCCGGTGCCACGCTTCATAACCCTAAACCCTAAAACCTTATAAACCCTAAACCCTAAAGCCTAAACCCTAAACCCTAAGCCTTAGTAAGAATGAAGCAGGCGTGCTGGGCCAAGTTGCCCGAGTCTCTTTGCGATGAGCCTTGCGGAAGGCCCAAACTTTCGTCGATGATGGGCTCTGCATACGCCCGTTGAGGAAGAGGCGTTTTGTAGTTCAGTGGACCATCATTTAAGTCATGGGTTCCCCTACTACTCCCCTCTATAGGGTTTAGGGTTTAGGGCTTAGGGTTTAGGCCTCTACACTACCCCCCTAAAAGTGCCCCCTTTACATAACCAGTATAGAGGGGGGGTAGTAGGGGAACTCATCATGAACGCGGAATCGTCACGCCGACGCCAGAAAAGACCTGTGCTGAGAAGTCGTAGATTTACTAGTCCGGCCGAGCTGTCTCGTCAGCCTGATTTGATGAGGGGTTTAGGGTTTAGGGTTTAGGGTTTAGGGTTTAGGGTTTAGGGTTTCGGGTTTAGGGTTTAGGGCTTCACTTTGAGAGACTCCGGGGGCACCTCATGGGGGTGCGCCCATGAGCCAGCTCGACCGCGACGAAGAATAACAGTACCATTACAGCTAGCTGCTTAAACAGAAGCCACGGGGGATCCTGGCATGTGACACCCCACACCACGACCACACTTTCTGCTGCACACGTGAAGTTCCCAGGAGCCCTTTCAAGTGAAACCTTCGCACTGCGCATCCACTCGCCAATACACCGGTAGGAGAGATGAGAAGGGTTTAGGGTTTCGGAAGACATGAAACGGCGGGAAGAGACGAATGAACACCTTGCATCGGGGGATTCTTGCGGTGCCTTGGCGAATGGTGCTATCATGGCGCGGGCGAGCTTCACAATTGCATTCTCTTTCCGCTCGCCTGCTCCTACTCACCGGTGCTCGGCGACAAACAAAAAACATGCGCACATGGTGCCCTAAACCCTAAACCCTAAATCCTACACCCTACACCCTACACCCTAAACCCTAAACCCTACACCCTCACCAGTCTCAGGCATAAAGTGCGCTAGCATCTTCGGTGCTCTCACTGCGCGGGCTGGTAGCTGCATACTTCACACGCAGCCGCTCCAAAGCATCCAGCACGGAAACAACGTAGTCCTAGGATGGCCCTCAACAAACCCTCTGAGGGGCTTAGGGTTTAGGGTTTAGGGTTTTGGGTTTTGGGTTTAGGGTTTAGGGTTTCGGATATTCCTTGGCCGGATCCACTTAAACCCAAGAAGGGAAAACGGAAAATATCCCAAGGGCCTACCAAGCGTCGGACTCGTCCACTGTTTTACGGAAGGAAAGTCCCACTAAGCCTGGCAGACAGGGACAGGGTTTGGGGTTCAGGATTTAGGGTTTAGGGCTTAGGGATGTTTAGGGTTTAGGGTTAAGGATTTAGGGTTAAGGGCGTGCCAAACGGAAGCGCGCTTTGGGAGCGCGCAGTAGTCTGCAGACCTACGCACCCCCAGACCGCCCACTTTCAACTCTCAAGGAGATACGGCCTTCTTTTATTTTTTTTTTACGAAGGATTACGTGGGTCAGCACTCACGCCCTGCAGGGCTAAGGCCAAGGAGGCAGGAAGACACCAGGGCCAGGGGCCACAGCGGAAGGGGCCCAAAGAGGCCAGAGAGACACGGCAGGGGGCAGGCAGGGTCAGGAGGGCAGGGCCAGGGCCAGCCAGGGTCAGGACCAGAATACAGAAACTCCATCAAAAGCATTTTTTGGGCCAACAAAGCAGCCCCTGGTCCCCACAGCCCAGCGGACGGGGACCCAGGTGTCTCCAGGGGCCCTCCCAGGGGGCCTCCAATGCAGGAGGGTAACAACTACAGTGACAACTGCTGCTCGGCCTGTGCTTGCCTGGAGGGTAAGCCATGCCCCAAAAAAAGAAGAGAGTGGGGTGGCGGGCGGGTTTAGGGTTTAGGGTTTAGGGATCGAACACGATCCCAGGGCCTGCGAACGTCATGCGGGCGAAGACCTTGTCCAGGTTGGACATCCGGCTGTCAGTCAACTCTTCCTAGGCAACTCAATGCTGCAATTACACGGTCCCTTAATGGGTTTAGGGCTTAGGGTTTAGGGTTAGGGTCGTTTCAGGGGGCTCTTCATGTGGTCCCTATAGCTCCTTTAAAGAGTAGTGATTTGTGAGCCCTTGCTTGCGTATAAGGTATATAAAGGGTACATAAGGTGTCCCCCTATTAAGGCCCGTGCTAAGGGACCATGCAGCTACCCTAAAACAGGGGAAGTTTTGGATTTGAAGCGAAGATTCAAAATCGGTTAAGAGTTTTGTCGGGGCTGGGAGGCAGGGGGGGGGGGGGGGGGTAGGGTTAGGGTTTAGGGTGTAGGGTGTGGGGTAGGGTCTAGGGTCTAGGGTCTAGGGTTTAGGGTGTAGGGTTTAGGGTTTAGGGGGGGGGGGGGGCAAAAGCAAGCATGTCCCAAAAATCCACGTAAGGTGAGGTCCTCCCCCCGTTTGCTAAGTATTAGGGACCGCCATATAAAGGTAACCCGAATTTAATGAAGCTACCATCTAGTGATAGTAGGTGCTTCTTGAAGCAAGCATGCACCGGGGTGGGGGGGTTGGTGACAACCAGCTAGCAGGTTTACAACTTGCAGGGCCAAGCCTTACACCCAATTCAAATATTCCTTGGTAGCCCAGTAACCATCTTACAATACAGGTGTATTTTCCTGGCTATTTACAAGGAACCCAGAACCCCAAAAAGGGTAAAGGGTACCACTGGGCTACCCTGGACCCTCAACCGTAAACCCTCAACCCTAAACCCTGGGCTACCCTACTCAGTTCGGGAGAGGAAACTACGCAGAACCCTGAAGCTCTGTTTTGCCTGGTTCAGCGCTCAGCAAACCTAACCTTCACAAAGCATCTTCCGATAGCTTAGGGTTTAGGGTGCAGGGTTAACTGCCACTACAGCAAAACCTTCGGAAGCCCGCCCCAAACAAAGCCCCGGTATAGCAGCCACGCCAAGTCAGTGGAGTGTCTGGAAGTGCGGGGGCACCCGGCGAAACCTGCCAGGTAGGGTTTGGGGCTGAGGAAATACAAGGATGGAGGTTGAGCTACCTACCCCCCCCCCCCCCCAGGTTTCAGATTTCACAACAACCCAACATATACCAGGAACATATCGTGACTCTCGTATGGTGTGTGATATCACAGCGTACACAACCCAACGCCTGGAACAAAGTGTACCCCCCTGTCCTGTGTCCAACCGTTCACAACCCAATGCTCGTAACAAAAAGTAACCCGTAACCAAATGTGCCGGTTGTCGTTTATGGTGTAACAACATGCGAAATCTCCTGCCCATAGCAAATCGTGCCCCCTGTATTGTGTTCATACTCTGTGTCATGTATTTGATAGATGTGAAATCATGGCAGAAGACACTGAACTTTGTCGTGAGCAATGGGCGGAGAAACCCGAAACCCTAAACCCCTAAAACCCTAAAAACCCCAAAACCCTAAAAACCTAAAAGCCCCTAAAACCCTAAAATCCTAAAAACCGTAAAACCCAAAAACCCCAAAACCCTAAACCCTAAAACCCGATAACCCGATAACCCTAAAACCCTAAAACCCTATAAGCCCAGGATCGACAAGCTCAAGTGACGAGGAGGAATAAGCAGGTGCAAAACTAACTCGGCAAACATGATAGGCGCTTCTTAGGGGCCTAGCTGGGTTTAGGGTTTAGGGTTTAGGGTTTAGGGTTTAGGGTTTAGGGTTTAGGGTTTAGGGTTTAGGGTTTAGGGTCTAGGTGTGCGAGTTGGGTGCTGACAGCTAGCTTGCCGGAGGGGCGCTCTACCCCTTGCGCGCCACCCTGAAGCGCACCACGGACCGCAACGGCGGACACCCCTACTAAACCCTAAACCCTAAACCCTAAACCCTAAACCCTAATACCCTAAACCCGCCTACACCCCACACCCTGCACCCGAAACATTTCGATATTTCGGGCGTGGGAAGCCTAAGCCCGGAACTCTCAACTCGAAACCCTCTGCTCAGGCTTCCACCTCGTGCATCCGCCTCTCCATGATCTGCACCACCGAGTCAGCTTTGTGCTGCAGCTGCTCCTGTCTAGGTTTAGGGTTTAGGGTTTAGGGTTTAGGGTTTAGGGTTTAGGGTTTAGGGTTTAGGGTTTAGGGTTTAGGGTTTAGGGTTTGCTGTGATAGGGCATAGATGCTGTGAAGGTTAGGAAAGGACCAAGCTCGAAAGCTTCGTGAGGCGCGAAGAGCAGCTTTGGCCCGGGCGGCCTAGGCCCTGAGTTTAGGGTTTAGGGTTTAGGGTTTAGGGTTTAGGGGTCGCTTTTTGAGGATCCCTAAACGAATGCAAGGGCTATATTAGGGTTATATTCAGGGAAACCTTTAGGGTACAACCTTCGGGGTACGAGTCTGAATCTCTTGAGCCTGGACTCTACTCTTCAAGAGCTTGCGATGCAATCCTGCTTGGGGTTTAGGGTTTAGGGTTTCGGGTTTCGGGCTCAGGGTTCAGGGTGTAAGGTACTGTGGCGTTTCACCCCAATTAGGTGCAACGGCATCACGTCTGACATCGACTTTGACGCACAGGGACATGGAACAGGAACAGGCATAAGCTGCCCAACTCCCTAATGTCCTACTCCCCCTAAGAGCCATGAAAAGTGACACAAAGAGTTTCTTCTAGTGCCTTGGGCTCATCTTTCCTAGGAAACTGCAGAATTCCCTGCTAAGAACTAGTCAGCTTAGTGGCTTTTGGGGGGGGGGGGGGGTTAGGAGGAACACTTTGGGACTTTCGGGCTCGCAGGCCTTTGATTTCGGGCGTCCCGGCTCTGACCTAAACCCTAACCCCAACCCTAAACCCTAAACCCTAAACCCTAAACCCTAAACCCTAAACCCTAAACCCTAAACCCTGGGGTATCCCTTGTTGAATTTCAATGCGTGAGTTCATAAGGGAACCTCTCCCTTAGAGCTTCGGGTTGCGATCCAGGGTTTAGGGTTTAGGGTTTAGGGTTTAGGGTTTAGGGTTTAGGGTTTAGGGTTTAGGGGTTTAGGGTTCAACTCTGAAGACAGGTCCGTGCCTCCGTGGCTTTCGCTCGGAGGTGGGGGAGGAGGATCTCCAACTTCTGCCCCTCCCGGGAGATCACGGTTTCAGGTTGGATTTAGGGTGGTCTAGGGTTTAGGGTTTGGGGTTTAGGGTTTAGGGTTTAGGGTGGTTTCTAGGGTTGACGGCTTGACTGAGCTTTCAGAAACTCTTCAGGGAGCTCAAGGGGACGATTGCATGTTCCCCCCTTCGAACCCTCAACCCTGAACCCTACACCCTACACCCTAAACCACAAACCCTAAACCCTAAACCCTAAACCCTGAACCCTAAACCCTAAACCCTAAACCCTAAACCAATCTAATGGTGACTGATTGGTGATGATCGAAGCAATTCATCTATATCCATACTCAGGTCTATTGGTTTATAGCTATTTAGCCTAGGATGGCCATTAGCACGCTCCGAAACAAATCATGTGATCCTCTTAAGCCCAATAAGGGGAAAGCATCGCATATCCCCAAGGCCTACCTAGTACATAGCCTCCGACATACCGGCCAACCGGAGCCTCTCAAGATCCCCTCCAATCGAAGCCCCCTCCTCCCTCCTTAGGGTTTAGGGTTTAGGGTTTAGGGTTTAGGGTTTAGGGTTTAGGGTTTAGGGTTTAGGGTTAGGGGTTTGGGGTTTAGGGTTTAGGGTTTAGGGTTTCGGGTGCACCCAGACTTCTCTCCTACTCTCAGCTGGACCTCCGTAAGCTTGTCAAAGATGGTCCGCTGCTTCTTGTCCAGCTGCGCTGGCCTGGGCTGCATGGAAACGATGCCAGCGTAGGGCTTAGGGTTAGGGAACGAATTTGGGCGTTTCTCACACTAGGGGTACCCCTTTTGTACCCTAAATAGAACGCATTCGGGCATTTCCTAAACTAGGGGTAGCCCTTTCATCTAATGGAATAGAAATCCCCTAAGAGGGACGCCAAAGAAGGGTACCCCTAGTTTCGGAACCCCCCATTTGGGTTTGCATTACCCTGTTATCCTGTGCAGCAGCGGCGTCAGGGGTGGTGGCACAGGGAACACCGTGGTTTTAGGGTTTTAGGGTTTGGCGCTCTAGATTGCTCGGGAGCTAGCGTGAAGGGGGTCCAGAAATTTAAGCACCTAAGAAGTGCTTTCGGTTTTCGCCCACTCGTGGTTCGCGTAGAGTGGGATTCCCTTCCTTGAAACTGCTGCGAGGCACTGACGGGTGTGCTCCAAATGACCTGAGTTGGTTGGGAAAGACGCATGGGTGTAGGGTTAGGGGTTTAGGAGAAGTTTGGCAGACTCTTAGTGAGCGGCAGAACCCACACGAAGAGCCATGTTGGCAATGCCCTTTGGCGAAGTAGATGCCTGGGCTAGTTTGACAATCTCACATGGACCTCAAAATGCCAATAAAGCACGTGGACGGGAAGCACAGCGAGCCTAACCTCATCAGCTCGGGTGCAACGACGTCGACATAGCTGTGGGTGTCCCAAGCTTCCCGGATTATCTGCCTCCTCAACCTTCGCCATGCACAACTCGCAAACGTCGGTAAACAGTTACAGTTCGCTGCCTATAGCCTATAGCTGTCCGGACGCCTGAACAGCACGTTCCTTGAGGTAGTCAGTCACCTGCACACAGCTTGAACGGCTCACCAAGTTCACAGGAGGCGTAAACCCTAAACCCTAAACCCTAAACCCTCCGTGCGCCTCATACCCTGGATCCCACTTCTGGAAGATAGAACGGATGGACGTCGCAAGCTCACTCTTCATCTCCTGCAGCGCTACTTGGAGGCTCATGGCAATTATAACTGTACTTATGACTGTACTTATAATCATATTAGGGCACTTAAGGGGGCTTATAAGTGGGTTATAAGTACAGTTATAATTGGTTAATAAGTACCATGAACCTCCAAGTAAGGCATTTCAGGAGGTCCGTCAGCGAAAAGGGCCTAAAGGAGGTAATATAGGGGGCTTGAATAGTTAGAATAGGGTTTTGGGTTTTATAGTAATAGTCATAATAATCCTAAAGGGACCTTAGCAATACCATTAGAGTACTTATTACGACCCCTGTATTCACGTCATCGTTTGCGGCCCGGCATGGAAAGTCGCTTGCTTTTCGTGGTCTGACGGGCCAAAGCGCAAAAGAACTCGAGGTGTTTCCGCGCGCCGATCCGGTTTAGGGTTTAGGGTTTAGGGTTTAGGGTTTAGGGTTTAGGGTTTAGGGTTTAGGGTTTAGGGTTTAGGGTTTAGGGTTTAGGGTTTAGGGTTTAGGGTTTAGGGTTTAGGGGTTTAGGGTTTACGGTTTACGGTTTACGGTTTAGGGTTTAGCAAGGTTGTTTGTTTCTCGTGTGGCCACTACCACCAAGGTTTTCGTGCTCGCGCGAAGTGCAATTTCCAAAGCGCTTACTTTTTGAACATGTTTTTCGGCGACAACACGGCGCAGGGCGGGATTCTCGACACGAGCCGCGTACGCTTTTCAGTGTCGGTTCCTTGTCAACATAATGTTGGACTCGCTTTAGTGCGCAGGGGGCCCCCCCCCCCACCCCTCTCCCCCACCCCTCCCCCCCAAACAAGTTTGGGGTTTTCGGGGATCCTGAATACTGTGGGCTGGGGCTGGGACGGGGCTGAGAGTAGGGCGTCTAGGGGTCGAGGGTTGAGGGGAAGCCTTGAAGCTTGAGGGTCTAAGCTTTCCAGGGTTTGTAGCTCCACGGTCGCCGGGGCTCCGCATAAATGCGGACCACCGAAACAACTTGCTAAAGCGAATCAGGGCAGCTCGTGGGCTACTCCCTTGAAAAGTTGTTTGGGGGCCATGTTTCGTAATGAAATTAAACGGAATCTAAATAAGGCTGGACACCAAAAAATTCCGGAGCTTCTTATTCAAAACTGTTTGTAGTTTTTGGCTCCGCGGCCCCCCACCATTCAACCCCGACCGGGCAAACATCGCATAATTGAGGACCACCCTAAACAATGGGGTCCCCTATAGGATTTCCGGAACATCGCATAATAGTGCCCCTTCTCACTAAAGCGAGTGTAACATTATCTTCCTTGATGGCCCCTGTCTCGCAGAAACACTGGCTACAGCGGCTTTTTCGCGACGCGTGACAGTGCTCGTCGCAAAGCACGTGAGTAACCCCCTCCCCTTCCCCGCCTTCCCTCCTCCTTCGCCCCCCTCCCCTTCGCCCCCCCCTCCCTACCCCCCTCTCACCAGTCCTGCAAAAAAAAAAGCCCGGAACATACCCAAAAGCCACAGGGGCCGTAATCGATGACGTGAGTCGACTCACTGCCCTCAAAGCCCCTTAGAAGTGCAAATGCGCAAAATGTCCCCCCCCCACCCTTCCCTTTTTTAGGGTCGTCTCCTGGCTGAAGAGGAAGTTCATCTTTTTGGTTGGAGACTGCGATGGCGATGGCGTCATCGGAATGGGGGGCATCTGAAGCTTCTGCGGCAGCTTCTTCGGTTCGGAACCTCCGGAATGTGCATCTGCAGCATCGGGGCAGAGGTCCTGCAACCAGTTAGGTTTTGGGGTTTAGGGTTTAGGGTTTAGGGTTTAGTGTTTAGGGTTTAGGGTATATAAGCTATAAGGAAAGGTGATTCCAAGGCCGCGCCCAGCCTTGACCAGCACTTTCTTTGGGGAACTCGGAGAATCCATTCTCCCCAAACTCCCAGATCTCACACCCTGCAGGTCGCACGGGAACTTCGGCGCCTAAACGACTAAGAGCCGCAGCACCTGCGGATGCGTTCGAAAGTGCGACCTCTGCGGTCACAGCGAAAGGCAGCACTCACCACTGAAGTCACGAATCTATACTCCCCTTAGAACCTGAATAGAAATGATATTTTTAATATCCTCTTGGGTTTATATGAACAAAAATTAAATATTCCCAAGGGGGATATAGGAATACCCACAAATGCGCACAGATCAATGGGAATGGCGTGGGTCTGCAGCGTGCACATGCACCGTGAAAATTTCCCCTGTCGTGGAATGTTCCACAGACGCCCGGCAGTCCACACATGCAGCAGAACGGGCCAAAATCTGGACTTTTGGTTAGGGATGTAGGGCTAAGTCACTGCAACTTTCAACAGGTCGGTGTCGCGGCGCGACTGCTGTGTAGCCAGTGCCTGCTCCACACGAAACCCGAAACTCTGGACTGCCAATTTTGCACTGCACGGATAATCACCAAGATAATCCATATCTTGACTCTACCATTCCGATGTCGTGTGCTAAGCCCTAAACCCTCAACCTTCAACCCTCAACCTTCTCAACCCTCAATCCTCAACCCGAGACAGCTTTTAACGCTGCTTGATTAAACCCTACCCTAACCCTAAACCCGAAACCCTATAAACCCTAAACCCTAAACCCTGATTCATTGGCAATTGGGCGGAGGCCTTTAGGGGTTCAGCATTCATAGGGCTGCGAATTCCTCCTAGGTGCCGGGGGGAACCTACGGGGTTTGGGGGAAGTAGTACTTAGGGTAGGGCTCCGAACCCTAAACCCTTCGGTTTCTGCGTTTTTGGGGGTATTTGGGTTTTATGGGGGGACCCTAAACTCTAAACCCTAAAACCCTAAACCCTGATGAGGCTCTCTGTGCTCCCGGCCATAAGCAGCCGGACTGGCGTAGTAGCCGGCCTAGGTGAATCCGTAGGCTCTCTGGGTAAGCAACCAATATTCCTCCTACCTACCGACCTACAACAGGAGCCCAAATAATTACAATAGGGTTTTGGGGGGGGGGTCTTACTGTATAATTCTATAGGGACTATCAGGGAATACTGTTGGTAGTTCTTCCTCCTACCTCTAGGAAAGTGTAAGGGTGCCATCATCATGTCCTCTGAAGTAGCTGAGAGCATCACAGGTCGTCATGGCCACCCCAAAACAAAAACGGGCCGCAAAATGTGGCCCGGGGGGGCAAGGCAAGGCCCTACCACAACAAGCACCGACAGCCCCCCTATGCCCACTTCAGCCCCCCAGTTTCTTAGGGTTCAGGGTTTAGGGTTTAGGGTTTAGGGTTTAGGGTTTAGGGTTTAGGGTTTAGGGTTCGAATCTGTGGACTTGGTGGGATCAGGCGGTAGGTTCAAGTTCAGGTTTTTGCTTGGAGCTCGCTTGAAGCAGTTGTGTAAAGGCTCCAACTCTTCCCCTTATACTAGCAGTCCCTAGTGGTGATTATAGTCCCCCATCTTAAGGAGTTCAGGGTTTAGGGTTTAGGGCTCAGAGTCTAGGGTTTAGGGTTAGGGTTTAGGGTTTAGGGTTTAGGGTTTAGGGTTTAGGGCTTAGGGTTTAGGGTTTAGGGTTTAGGGTTTAGGGCTTCGGGAGCCTCAGTAGCTCCGCTGCGCGCCCTTTTTTGTTGCTCCCTGCAGCCACGGGAGGGGCTCCTGGCGTCGAAGGCATTCTCCTGACGTGTAGGGTTGAGAGTTTAGGGTTTAGGGTTTAGGGTTCAGGGTATAAAATTAGGTTTTGGGTTTAGGGTTTAGGTTTTAGGGTTGGGATGTTTCCCCCTTATACTGACAGTCCTTGAGAGGGATTACGCACTAGAATCCATCTTAGGACAGTCAGTATAAGGGGGAACATCGCAAGGTGTGGGGGGGAGAAATATTGGTTCTTCAGGCCGAGAAGGTTTTAAGGTTTAAAGTTCCATGGGCGATCTTTTCTTGAAGTTCCCCTGTTTGAAGGGGGGGGGGGGGCAAAGATGCGGTGCATTGTTCCGGAGAACGCAGTGCCTGAGGCTAATGATGAGCTCTTGGACCCACGATTGCTAAAAACAGGGCCATGAGGCTGGAGCTTGAGCTGGGGCAGGTTTGGGGGCCCGATAAAGATCAATTGCTTATGGGCTTTATAGGGGTTATGTATGGGGATTAGGGGAAATACAAAAAACAACTATGTTCAAACCTTCCCGCTGTGAATAGTTTGGAAGCTTCAATGTGGGCAACGTGGTGTCTGAGGAACAAGCGCGATCAAATGGCCGCCGGATTTCGATTTCGCGATGCCCTAAACCCTAAACCCTAAACCCTAAACCCTAAACCCTAAACCCTAAGAAGCCAGTTCTGCATAGGGCCAGGCTTGTGGTGAGGAACTGTGCGTGTTTCGCTGCGTGAGCACGTTGCAAGAGGGGATATACTCACCTCCGAGCACCTTAGAAGGACATCGTCTGTGGCTGGGCAACCATTGCTTGTGTCTATGCGAGCTGGGACTATGTCTATGTCGTGGACTACATCTAATTCGGCGATTATCCCTTTGCAGGCTGCACGCCGGCTGCAAGAATACGGTCTTCACTGCACTTTGTGAGAACGCTGTTTTGGGAGGATGGCAACACTTATCCTAGTCCAATCTTTGCCCCCTCTGACAAAGATGCTGAACAGCCGCGAAGACGCTGGAGTTCCATGGAGAAGTAGGGTGGTGACAGGTTGTCCAGCAACTTGACGGGATACAGCACAGCTCAAATCATGTCGGCCCAAAGCATCTGCTGCCAATAGGTGGCAAGTGCTAAGCCGGTCACAACCACTTCTGCACCCTAAACCCAAACAAACCTAGTAAACTCCTCCCCCCCCCCCCCCCCCCCCCCCCAACCCCAGAGCTTGCACCTTCATCTGCTGGCTCCCGGCCCACGGGAACAACAGGGATCCTGGCAAAGAGAGATGCTCGAGAAACCTCTTGGTGAAATTCGAAGTCATTAAGAAACTTGATGGGGCTGACAACCCTAAACCCGCAAACCTAAACCAACAACCGCAAGGCTCAAAACCCTAGCCACCAACCGCTCAGGCTCAAAACCCTAAACCACCAACCCTAAACCATAAACCCTAACTCTGGAGTGTTTCATTGTTGCTCTCTTGTTTTTTTTATATTTTTTTTTGGGGGGGGGTGCTTGCGGGCCCAAGATCCTTAGGGAAAGTAGAGGTTTGGAATATTGTGTAGGTGATAAGGCTTCGGGGGGCTTGTCCCGAAACCCTAAACCCTAAACTCTAAATCCTGAACCCTGAACCTCAGGGGTGCGGCTTTCAGGAGGAGTTCCTGGGATCTGTGGAAGTGGTACTTACACCTCGCCTTGAGAGGCGCAACCCTCTAAAAGAACCTGGGAACCATATGGGGTTTAGGGTCTAGGGTTCAGGGTTTTGGGTTTAAAGGCCTTTAGGTCAGGAGGTTCACCCAGAGCTTAGGGGGTTTAGGGGGTTTGAGTGTTCAGAGGGTTCGGGGGATTCAGGGCTGTCGGGTGTTGAGGCGCGCGGCGTAGTGCGTCTAGTGCTCATAGGCCTCCCTAAAACCATAAACCCTACACCCTAAACCTTAAACCCCAGACCCTAACACCCTAAACCCTAAACCCCAAACCCTAAACCCTAAACCCTAAACCCTAAACCCTAAACCCCAAATCCCGAACCCTCAATTGCTCTTGTGTCGGTCCTGTTCAGCTCGCAGGCAAGCTCGTAGTAGTACCCATACCTCAAGTCTAAGGGCTCCTAACAACTGTGATCCCTTTTGGTTTTTTAGGGGTTTAGGGTTTAGGGTTTAGGGTTTAGGGTTTAGGGTTTAGGGTTTAGGGTTTAAAGTTTAGGGTTTAGGGTTTAGGGTTTAGGGCAACTATGATCCCTTTAGGGATCGATCTAAGGGCCCGTACTACAGTAAGTACCCAAGGTCCAACACCTTTTCCTGGACCAGAGGTGACAGCAAACGCCACTCAATACGCAAGGCTGAACCTTGCGACCTAACCGCACAGCCTGGGACCTATACTTGGACCAGTCTGCCCTAAGTTGTACATACTTCTACTCTGCAGCCAAAGCCTTACACCCCAACTCCTAAACCCCAAACCCTGAGACCCTTAAACCCAAATATCAAACCCAGAAACACTGATCCCAGAACACCCTGAAAGCCTGAAACCCTAGAAAGCCAATGCCAAGCCCCACACTCTAAATCCTGAACTGAAACCCTGGCCCCTAAACCCTAAACCTAAACCCTAACCCTGGACCCTAAACCCTAACCCCTGGACCCTAAACCGCAAACCCCAAACCGCAAACCCCAAACCCAAGCCCCAAAGCCCAAAGCCCAAAGCCCAAAGCCCAAACCCTACACCCCAAACCCTAAACCCCAAACCCTAGCAAGCAAGGCGCAGGGCTTGGACCACCCCAGGGCCTTGGCGAGCTCTTTGGGGAGTTCAGGGGAAGGGTTTTTAGGGTTTAGGGTTTAGGCCTTAGGGCTTAGGGTTTGGGGTTTAGGGTTTGGGGTTTGCGGTTTTGGGTTTCGGGAGGGAATTGAGGGTTAGCCGGGTTTCGGGTTTAGGGTTTAGGGAGGGATTTGAGGGCTAACAGGGTTTGGGATTTAGGGTTTTGGGGTTTAAGGAGGGCAAGGTTTAGGGAGGGGTTTGAGGGCCAACAGGGTGTCAGGGAAGGTTTAGGGTTTATGTTTTAGGGTTTAGGGTCACCCCTAAACCCTAAACCCTAAACCCTAAACCCTAAACCCATCTCGATCCGACTTGGCCTCCGGCTAGTGTTTGAGAGGACGCCGTTGAAAGCCAACACAAACTTACCCGGCATCCAGGTATCGTGCAGGGTCCTTGGCAACTCAAGGGTCTCCTGGGTTTAGGGTTTAGGGCTTAGGGTAGTTTAGGGTTTAGGGTTTAGGGTTTAGGGTTTAGGGTTTAGGGTTTAGGGTTTAGGGTCTGGGGTTTAGGGTTTAGTGCGTAGGAAACCTTAACCAAGCTACCGGCAGGTGCTTATGTAATGGGTACAGCTTAAGCCATGCCAGATTTGATGATCATGGGTTCCCCTACTACCTCCCTCTATACTCCCCCCCCCCAGGTTCCCCCTATAATTAAGGCGATTTAGGGATAATTAAGCTTAAGTTTATTTCAGGGGGGGAACCTAGGGGGGGTAGGATAGAGGGGGGTAGTAGGGGAACCCATGGGATTATCTTGGAAGTCTTGTGGTGTTCCTTAATCAGCAAATAGTAGTGAGGGCCGCACGGCCTCGCTTTGGCCATCTTACTGCGCCCTAAACTCTACACCCTAAACCCTAAACCCTAAACCCTAAACCCTAAACCCTAAACCCTAAACCCTAAACCCTAAACCCTAAACCCTAAACCCTAAACCCTGAACCCCACACCAGAAGCTGAGTGCTCAGCTGCGCGGTGGCCGGGTGGTAGGAGTTGAACTCGAACTGCGGCAGGATGCGCACCTCAAGGGGCTAAAGGAGGGTTTGGGGGTAGGGTTTAGGGTTTAGGGTTTAGGGTTTAGGGTTTTGGGTTTTGGGTTTAGGGTTTAGGGTTTAGGTTTAGGGTGTAGGGTCCTTAGGGTTTAGGGACCTTAGGGGGTATTTCGGGCTTTTTTTAAGGGGCTACTTGGGTGTATAAGGTATATGTAGGGGTTATATAGAGGGATAAGACTAAGGTCCCTTCTAGGGGTCACACGTTCCGAAACGGGACACTTATGGAGGTTCATTGGGGCTACTTATCATGGGTCATGGGTTATGTAAGGTGATAAGCAAGGGTAACTATGGCCATGACCTAACTAGGGGCACTTGTTACAACCTACTTCGAAGCCTACGTGAACCTTCAAGAGCATAAACGTCCCCTAAACCCTAAACCCTAAATTTAAACCTTAAACCCTAAACCCTAAACCCCGGGCCTCCTTTGGGTAGACGTCTGGACGCAGGTCGTACCGAAACTTCTCAGAGTTGAATCTGAGGAGGTCCCAGATCATGGCGGCATTCTCCCACCTGAGCTGTTCCGCCTGCTTCTTACTGGGGGAATGAGGGATTGAGGTAACCTATAGATATATATGTATATATATATATATGTACTTGTTTATTTTCTGTGTTGAACCCTTTCAGGGAGTATATGAGCCCTAACTCCCTCGTTCCCTACTAAGAACCATCTACGCTGTTAGGAGGGCAGGTCCTGCAAGCACGTTTGCGGTGCACGAACTGGACAAGTGCCTTCCGTGGCTTTATCGAAACCTGTTTGTTTGTGTAAATCCAAACTGTTTGCTTTTTAAAGTGCGAAAACAAACAGGTTTTGATTTAGAACCAACTGCTCTTCAAAATTAAAAGTTAAAAACAAACAGCTTTTAATTCATAACAAACGGAGGCTCCAGGAATTCAAGCCACCCTCCCAGGCCAATTCGGTCCCTCCCAACGCGGAAAACCGCAAGCATGCTAAAAGGTCGATCCTGCACCCTAAACCCTAAACCCTAAGCCCGAAGCCCTGAGCCCTAAACTTAAAAACCCCCCGCAAAACTCTACATGGGAGGTGGGCCACTTTGCCCTTTCGGGGCAACGATACGACTCATCCCGAAACCTCATCCCTACTACGTACCCCCTCTATACGACCACCCCAACCCCCCCCCCTCCTTTAAAAGCCTGTGGGCTTGACTATCCCAAACATGGCCTTAATTCTGGGGGGCTGTTGGAGGATGTGGGGGGTCATAGGGGAATCACCCGAAACCCTAAACCCTAAACCCTAAACCCTAAACCCTAGACCCTAAACCCTAAACCCTAAACCCTAAACCCTAAACCCTAAACCCTAAACCCTAAACCCTAAACCCTTACCCTAAACCTAAACCCATGACGATTTAGGGAGTTCAGGGTTTAGGCTTTATAGGGCGAAGGGGCCCCCAGAACCCGGTGCTGGGCCAAGGCGCCAGGGATGAGAGATCCAGATGGAGTCCTGACGGGTTTAGGGTTTAGGGTTTAGGCAAGTTCCAGGAAGCATCAGGAGGAGATTGTTGCCCGGATACTCAGAAGAACACGACTCAGCAAAGGCTTAGCCTAAAACACCCTGCACCCTACACCCCAAGCACCAGCCCTAAGCCCTAAGTACGATCATTCCCTTGGAGGTTCGGAGGTTCAGGGGCTTTCGCATGGCCGCAACCGAAGTCGACTCCTGCTTCCCCCATACGCGGCGCAAGAAGCTGCGGCTCCAGTCGGAGCGCCGCAGGAGGAAGGCTCCCGTGTTCAGCATGGCAGCATCCTCGCCCCGCCCCCCCCCGCCCCCCCGCCCCGACAGTGAAGTTGACTTAGTGGGATGTTTCCCCCCGGTACTAAGAGTCCTTCATCGGGATTATCAGAAGGGGTACTATAATCCCTACTAAGGAAACACCAGCGCTCGAACTAAACAGAATCTGCTGTGAGCGCCAAGCCAGAAGCCCACAGCTGTGCAAGACCTGTGATCATCAGTTCTGTACGAGTCTCACCTGTTAACTGGAGGTACGAACATAGGGGACCCCAAATATAGAGTAGGATCCCCTTAACATACTTCCCCGATAAGGTACCTCTAAATATTCGTAAAGCCCCATAATTTAGCAATTGAAAGCCCGAAAATTTCCACGGGGCCTGCGAAAAAGAGGCGAGATTTCTTGGGCTTTTGTCGTGAAGAGGTGATGCGACGAGCTGGAGCTTAGGTTTCGCAACAAAAAGGGGTAAACCCTGAACCCTAAACCCTAAACCCCAAACCCTAAACCCAGCACTCTCATAAACAGCTGAAATTGTAATGCGACGAGATCAAGAACTGCCCAAGACAAAAAACAACCCTCACAGACACCCTCCCTTTACTGCCCCCTCCCCCCCCCTCTCCCCCTTCCCCCCCCCCCCCCCCCCCCCCCCCCCCCCCCCCCCCCCCCCCCCCCCCCATCCAGAAACCCCGAAACCCGAAACCCTCAACCCTACAAGCCTGCGCCCCCAGAGCCCTAAACCCTAAACAACCCTCCACCCTAAGCCTAAACCCTAAACCCTAAACCCTAAACCCTAAACCCTAAACCCTAAACCCTAAACCCTAAACCCTAAACCCTAAACCCTAAACCCTAAACCCGAATCCTCGGCGGCCAAGAGGTGGATGCTGGCATCCAGGCCCCCAGGGGCCGAGGCGTACCGGTAGAGAAGGGAGTCTACGGTCACCTGAGGGCTTTGTAGGGTTTAGGGTTTAGGGTTTAGGGTTTAGGGGGGGTTTTGAGGGCTTAGGGGTGTTGAGGGCTTTTGGGGGTTTATCGGGTTTTTGGAGGGGGTGTAGGGCTTGTAGGGTGTATGTTTCCCAAATGGGACGCAGTTACGCCGCAGCATTCTACCTCGTGCTCGGAGGGCAATGCGTTGAGGGGCGTCTTTGAAAACCTCAAGCCTCCCCTTCGGCTGCTGAGGACTAGCTTTGATGTCCAGGTGAGGTCTTAGGTTTTTGGGTTTAGGGTTTCTATAGAGTTTAGGGTTTAGGGTTTAGGGTTTAGGGCTGAGTTGCGCTCATATTCATGAAGAAGGTGTCGCAGTCAAACCAGAGCCACCAATCCACATTGGGCTCCTCGCAACGGCGAAGACAGGTGCAGCAGCGCAGATACAGCTCGAAAAGCGCGGCTGCTACAATGATTACTGATTACTGGAGGCTGCAACCATGCTACACTACGATCTCTTCAGAACCCCCAAAATACAAGATAAAACGTCCCTGTACTGCCATTATAAGGAAGAACATTTCTACTATTTTGGGGTTTCGAAGCGCATGAGCAGCCGACCAGTGCTGTGGCTACGCAGAATCTTGCGGCGGTTCGGCCGCTAACCATACTCAGCACACCGTTGGGGTGCGCATGAAGGCTAAGATTGGGATCATCTACTACTATGACTATAATCTCTTTGAGGGTATATGGACCTAAACCCTAAACCCTCAACCCTCAACCCTAAACCCAAAACCCTAAACCCCCTAGACCCCCCCAAACCCTAAACTCTAGGGCTCCTTTGGTCCCCTAGAAAGGGGTTTAAGGTTTAGGGTTTAGGTTAGGGTTTAGGGTTTCGGGTTTAGGGTTTCGGGAACCCCGGGTCCTCCTCAAGCACCTGCTGGAGGAGCCGCACCTTCCCCCAGGCCGGGGGCCTCTCGGGGGCCAGCTGCCTCTGCTCCAGGCGGTATCCTGCCCCAGAAAGGTTTTTGTCTACAATAGACGTATAATCTTCATAGATTTCGACATGTAACTCTACATGTGTATATATATATATATAATTATGTGTATATATATATATGTGTATATAGAACTGTATACAAAAAACACAAAATACAAAATCTCACTGTATGAACAGAGAACTAGGGAGAGAGACCAAGGCATTGCACCCCCCCCCCCCGTTCACCCCCACCCCCTGGCCTCCTGCTCCTGTCCCAGGGGGAGCTTGGGTTTAGGGTTTAGGGTTTCCCCGCTTCAATCCTGGGACTCCGCCCAGTTGAATAACAAGAGATCTCAGATAATCTCACATAAACCCTAAACAGTAAACCCTAAGCCCTTTTGAACCCTAATCTCAGACCTCAGGACTAGCCCCCGGCAGACATTCCTGAAGGCGGCCGGCCGGATGCACGTGCGCCGGAACTGACACTTGGCGCACGTGTCTAGCACGCAAATCAACACAGAAAATGCACCATTAGTAGTAGTATCCTCTTTATATATTCATAAAAAGATACATAGTGTGTATATATAGTTCATTACCACTAGTATACTCTTTACATAATCCTCATAAAAATATGCATGGTGTACAGAGAGATAGTTGCATTCCCGAATCTCTGGCTCTTGTCTTGGGGGAGGTTCCGGGCTTCGCAGAAGCTGCCAGGACAGCGAAGCTTGGATGTCGAGGTCCTAAACCCTAAACCCTAAACCCTAAACCCTAAACCCTAAACCCTAAGATGGGGAGCTTTGCGGCTTTGCACCACGTTTGGTGTGCATGCTCATGGCGGCTCCGCGATGTTTTTTCCAGGGCACTTCTTGGCTGTGAATCGCAAGCCCTCAGCCCACAAAAACCCTGGAAGGGCTGGGAGCTTCCGGAACCCTCAACCCTCTATAAAAATTCCGAAGCCCCAAACCCTAAACCCTAAACCCTGAACCCTGAACCCTAAACCCTGAACCTGGCTGAGGGGCGGTAGCCATGGCGGGCGGCGTACGCCCGGTGGTTTGAAGCGGCATACCGGGGCAGCGGGTTCTCTGGCGGATAAGCGCCTCGACACCAGGAGCTTGCAGGTGCTTGATTTCGGCGAATGCTTAGGGATGCGAACCAACTACTGTTGATTCAATGTTTCAAACACTATGTTTGGTTTCAATAATAATCAGCCTACAATTAAAAAAGAAAAACAAAGTAAAAAGATAACATTGGGTGAATTATAGGGTCTAGACATGTAGCATGGAGGTATTCGATTTAGGGTTTGGACGGGGTGTGGGATGGTGCTTGCCGCGGCGGCCACGGAAAACAGCAGCTAACGCGCCGAGCGCGAGCATGAATGGTACCAACAGCAACAGCTGCATACGAGTAGCATCAACTGCTACAGCGTCAACGGCCACAGCATCAGCTGCCAATTTGGGTGTAGGGTCTTGGCCCTTGGGCTTAGGGTTCAGGGTTCAGGGTTCAGGGTTTAGGGTTTAGGGCTTAGGGTTTAGGGTGTACCGTTTAGGGTGTACCGTTTACGGTGTACCGTTTAGGGTGTACCGTTTAGGGTTTAGGCGTCGGTAAGAAGGAGACCGAGACTATCTGGGCAACTCAGATCCCGGCACACGCTCGCGATGCCGATGTTCAAGTTAGTGTCTCTCCAACCTTGGCTGAGGAGCAACTTGACCCTAAACCCTAAACCCTAAACCCGAAACCCTAAACCCTAAACCCGAAACCCTAAACCCTAAACCCTAAACCCTGAAACTCTCTGGCGCAGACTGCTCGGGACGTCTGGGGCGATGGCTGTGAAGAGTCTCCGTCCTCGGCCTTGGCAGCGGCTGTCCACTCCTAAAACCCTTTAACCCGAATTAATTGGGACGTTTAGGGTTTAGGGTTTAGGGTTTAGGGTTTAGGGTTTAGGGTTTGGGGTTTAGGGTTTAGGGTCCCCCTAATACGAACAGTCCTTAATCGGGAGTATCATCGGGGGTACTAACTGACAGTCCTTCATCGGCCTAGGAATATAGTACCCCCCGTTTTTAGAATCCCCATGAAGGACTCTCTTAGTACAAGGGGGAACATCCCAACTACAAGTAGTTGACCTTGTGGACGGAGGTAAGCGCGCGGCATAGACCCGTGGTGCGCCTTTGCGTCAGCCAGCTTTCTTTGAACCACGTGCATTTCGACATTCAGCTCCTGGCATTGCGAGTAGCAAGCTGCTTGGACCTTACAGTTCGTGGAGACGATGTAAAGTTTTTCTAACCATGCGCTACCCACTGGCACACAAACGATAACAACCCATGCCTCAAACTTCAACCCACCGAAAGAAACCTTAAACCCTAAACCCTAAACCCTAAACCCTAAACCCTAAACCCTAAACCCGACCCAAGACCGTTGGCTTCCCTTTGCTCTCTCCTCTCTTCTTGCTTGGCTATAATTCATTCCTGACGTAGCATTTTCGTTTCGCTTCTCGGCATGTATTGCATGTCTTAAAAACCTTCAAACTCTTCAGCAGCCTCTGACTTGATGCACAGCACGATTTACATACTCTCTTCTCCATCTTGCTGTATCAAAAAGTCTAGTCCTTGGACATAGCTAGACTGGACAAATCTTCAACATGTTGCGTAGTATTGGAACATTCTAGGGGCAAAAGAAATGAAGTGCCCTAAACCCTAAACCCTAAACCCTAAACCCTAAACCCTAAACCCTAAACCCTAAACCCTAAACCCTAAACCAACCATCACCAAGCTCTTACAAGTATGGTGTGCTTATGGTAAAGCAACACGCGGGGCTCACAATGATGATGTCTGGGACTTAGATAAATACTGTCCACTGTCGAATATACACATGACCACAAACTTTAAGCATTATTCTAACAAATGATTAAGTGATAAAGTTCAAAAGCAATTTTACTCTTTTCTTATACTGACAGACATGTTGATTATCCTGTAGTTCACCCATTATAGCACTTAAATTAGCATGATACATCCTTGTCTTTCTTCGTTCAATTCACCAATTGCTTCGTTGTTCATTCTTCTCTCTTGAAACCCCAACAATCCATATAACTCTTGTTTTATTTGGAATGCCCCAATCTTTGGACCCTCAACCCCGACACCCCCTAAACTCCTTTGACTCCCTAAACTCCCTAAATCCCTAACCTCCCTAGCCTCCCTAATCCTAGACTCCTGCCTAAACTCCCAAGACTCCCGAAACTCCCGGAACTCCCTAAACACCCTAATCCTAAACTCCCCCCCCCTCCCTAACATCCCGAAGCTGCCTAAGCTCCCTAACCTCCCAAACCCTATATAAACCCTAAACCCTGCACCCCAAACCCTAAACCCTACACCCCAAACCCTAAACCCCAAACCCCAACCTCCCAAAACCTTCAAGCACTCCTTCAAGCTGATGGGCCAGGCGGAGTCATCAATGTAGGATCTGTCATACCATGCCCAGCCATCGCCGGGGCCACCGCCATCCTCCATGGCAGTTTCGAGGTCAGGGGGTTTAGGGTTTAGGGTTTAGGGTTTAGGGTTTAGGGTTTAGGGTTTGGGGCCAAAGCAGGCACCCGCGAATGCAAGTGGAGCTGTCTAGCTGTAGGCGGCTCTTCAGGCTAACATGAGATGCTGCTGGGGCGCATTCCCCTAAACCCTAAACCCTAAACCCGAAACCCTAAACCCTAAACCCTAAACCCTAAACCCTAAACCCTAAACCCAGGACTGTCCACACGCAAACAGGCGTTGCTCACTCCTCGCGCCGGGCGAACTTCTCCCAAACGTGTGTAACCTTTTCACAGGGTTTAGGGTTTTTGGTTTAGGGGTTTTGGGGCTTTGAGGTTCAGGGTTTTGAGGTTTAGGGCTTTAGGTTTTTGATTGCGTAGGGTTTTAGGTTCAGGGTTTCTGGGTCCAGGCTTTTGCCCAGACATGTTGATCCGCAGCATCCGCCATGTGCACTACAACACCGGGTGGGCCTCCCTCAGACCTGTACTGAACTTGGAACCCTAGCAATAAATTCCAATTTTGGCTGTTTGTGAGGAATTATAGTGCCCAAAAACCCAAAACCCAAAACCCTAAACCCTAAACCCTCAACCCTAAACTCTAAACCCTGAACCCTAAACCCAAGACAAGCAGCCCACACGTTGGCCAAGTGCTGAAATCGGAGCGCCACATGGTGGCTGCGGAGGTCGTGGCTTGTCGAGTCCTGCAATGGCGATTCGGGGCTCTACAAGGCCGTAAAGATACACACACATACATACATGCATCGCGCGCACACACATACATGTATGTAAACCCTAAACCCTAAGCCCTAAGCCCTAAACCGCATATACATATATACATGTTATATATATATATATATTGTCATGCTTAACCCAGAAAGGCCCCCTCTAACTCCAACAAGGGGCAAACGATATGGGGCCCTCATACGGTTCGTACTTATGGCTTAGGGCTGAGGGTTTAGGGATTTGGGTTCAATGTTTAGGCAACCGCCCACATCGAAAAGTTAGACTTTCTTCTGGAGGTGCCCCCTAGACTCTAAACCTGAAACCCTATAAAGCCTTAAACCCTGAACCCTTACCCTTACAAAGCCCCCATAGACGCGGGCGTAATAACTATGGGTAATCATATGTATTCAAAACACTGGAATATTAATGCACTAATGATACTAATCACAGTAAAAATTAATCATCATAAGAATAACAAGCTTAAAAGCCCTGAGCCCTAAACTTCACCACAGCCCCACGACCCTTACACCCTGAACCCCGAGCCTTATGAACCCTGTAACCCTTGAAGTCATCCTCGAGCCTGGATGAACGCTCAACCCTCAACCCTGAACACCAAACCCTAAACCCTGAACCCCAAAACCCTATAAGCCCTAAACCCCAAACCCGAAGCCCCTGAACCCCAAAACCCAAAACCCTGAACCCCAAACCCTAAGCCCTAAACCCCAAACCCAAAACCCTAAACCCCTGAAGCTTCAAGCCTCGAGGTTCATCAGGGCCAGAACACGATATAGGGAGGCCACACCTGTCGTACTAGCCCTCAATGGGGGCTTTCGGGTTTTAGGGTGTTGGGGTTTAGGGAACTCGGTGCAGTACCTTATATATCCCCTCTCTCCCTCTGTAGATATACATATATGTCTAGGGTTTAGGGTTTAGGGGTTGAGGGTTTTAGGGTTTTGATCATGTATGGTTGCGCCACGGTGGTCCCCCGTGGTATCCCGCCCCTGTGAGTGTTTTTGTGGTTGGCTTGAGGGTTTCAGGGTTTGGGGCTTTAGGGTTTTGGGCTTTTGGGGTTGCGGGCTTTTGTCACTTCGGGGGCTTCAGGGCTTTAGGGCTTGGGGTTGAGGGTTTTGGGGATGAGGGTTTGGGGATGAGGGCTTGGGGTTTAGGGTTTAGGGTTTCACGCTTTCGGGTTTCGGGTATGGCCAATAAGGTTTAGCTAGGGCTTGGGGGTTGAGGGCTAAAGTTTCGGGAGGACACCGTGAGGGTGAAGGGTGGGGGGGGCCCCCCCCCGGCCTAGGGAGCAGGTGAAGCCCAGTCGTGGCTCAGGGTCCAGGCTGCTCGTTGAGGCCAACAGCGCGTCGGCCAGGAGCCGCCGGGCGGCCTCGGTGGGGTTTAAAGGTTTAGGGTTTCGGGTTTAGGGTTCAGGGTTTTGGGTTTAGGGCCTTAGGGTCTAGGGTCTAGCGTTTCGGGTTTTGGGTTTCGGGCGTTTAGGAAAAAACACAAGAGTTGTATACGGCGATTAGGGGAGGTTTTATGGGGCTTAATGTTAACCTCGTATTACTAAACCCCCGTAAATTAAAGTGCGCCAGGTGTCCCGGCCGCAATAATAAAGCCCTGGGAATAAAGTACGCCAGTCGGGGCTTGTTTTTTTTGGGGGGTGTCCGTTGTTCTTTGTTTGTTTATGGAGAGAAAAGAGAGGGAGGGTTAAGGGTTTTATGGTTTAGGATTTAATTAGGAAAACATGAAGCGATCAGATTTCGAAGAGAAACCTGAAAACCAAACTCATCAGAAACTTGCAGATTTTTATTTGAGAGCCTTACTAGAGGATTGAAAAAATCTTTCTGGCAAAGGGGGTAGCTTTGGAGGCCGGTGCCCTGGAAATAATCCTGAAAGATCTGCCCCTCGGAATAAAGTTCCTGGAAATTCCTGCCTGAAAAAAATCTTCAAATGATCGCTTCATGGTTTCATTAGGTTTAGGGTTCATGGCTTAGGTTTACTTAGGTGTTGTGGAGTCTTATTGAATTAGGGTTAAGGGTTTAGGGTTAGGGTTAGGGTTTAGGGATAAGGGTATGGCATGGTCTCTAAATCCAGGGGCCCCTGCAATTAAAGTCTTAGGGTTTAGGGTTTAGGGTCTGGGGTTTAATTAGGGTTAAGGGTTTAGGGTTTAGGATTTAATTATAGGAAAACATGAAGCGATCAGATTTCGAAGAGAAACCTGAAAACCAAACTCCTGAGAAACTTGCTGTTTTTTATTTGAGAGCCTTACTAGAGGATTGAAAAAATCTTTCTGGCAAAGGGGGTAGCTTTGGAGGCCGGTGCCCTGGAAATAATCCTGAAAGATCTGCCCCTCGGAATAAAGTTCCTGGAAATTCCTGCCTGAAAAAAAGCTCTTTAGGGTTTAGGGTTAGGGTTTAGGGTTTAGGGTTTAGGGTATTCACCAAGCCCTGACCCGTAGAACCCTCCCAGCCCTTCTTTCTGATTCTCTCTGATTCTCTCTGATCCTCTCTAATTCTCTCTAAGGAAAGGAATCCTGAGTGATTCTCTCTGATCCTCTCTAAGTCTCTCTAAGGAAAGGAATCCTTATTCAAAGGGGCCCCCACTCTATTTGGGGGGGTTTGATTGAAGGGGGGGGGGGGGTTTATTATTACGAGGTCAACATTATATAAGGCTTTTATCGGGTTGTATGAGCGTTCTAGATGGTTATATACGGTGATGCAGGGTCATATAGGGTTAGATCCATCATAAAGGTCTTTCTAGGGCTATGGCTATTTAGAGTGCGCGTAGGGTTTGCATAGGGTTTCTTACAGGGGTTTCGCCCACATAGCTCCGCAGGATCGCTATAGAAGAGGACTCCGTATGCAATAGGGTTTGGGGTTTAAGTTTAGGGTCCAGGGTTTAGGGATTGAGGGAAAGGGTCCCTACAAGAGACAACAGGAAAGAAGCAGCAACAACAAGGGTAAGC